TGGACTGACATAGTAACCAGGGCAATAAGAGTTGGTGTGTCAGAATCAGTGAGACTGGCTCAGGCAGGGCAGGCTTTAGAGATGGTGTACACAGGGTTGCTATGGGTCGCAGGTGATTTGATGGCACATAACAACAAGAATAACAACAATAATTCAATAAACATGTACCTTATCATGAAATATAAATTTAAAGCAACTATCTGGGTTTCATAAGAAACATACCTGTATATATCTAACTGTAATGCCCTCTAAAGATGCGGTGTTAGCCCAAAGTTGGCTTTTTCCCCCCCTTAGCCATTACCTTAGGCCCCTCTGGTCTCCAGCTACCTTAACTACAGACACACGGTCTTGAAAATCATCATCAACAGCTACGGGACTAGGTTAAGAGAAAAAGTGCTTCCCACACTGAGCAGACTTGCGGTAGCCAAGACTTGAGGGAGCTTGGAGATGAGACCCTGGTGGTGAGACCTTGATGATGGTGGTGGAGAGACTATGGTATTGCTGTGGAGAAACTATGGCAGAGGAGCACTGAGGTAAAAGCCACAGTTAAAGATTTTGCTGTTCTTGCCAGATAATTAAGGAGAAACTGACTTATAACTGCTCTGAGACAAATCTTGCTGGCTTTGGATTTGACTGCTGAATTGAAAACAGAGGTTGGATTAATTGAGGAATTGTGTTTGGAATTTGAGCTAAAACCTGGACTTGTTTTGGGTGATACTGTTTGCTTCCCCCACTCTCCAACTTACTTCCCTAATAAACTCCATTCTCTGTATCACAATAGTGAGTCAAGCATGAATAAATGAACCTGTTGCTGTTGCTGCTGTGGCTCTGAGTCACCAGGAGGCTGGACTACGGGCTCTTTACCTGCTTTCTTCTCCGGGGCGGTGAGGGGCTGTGCTATTCTCTCTCCCTGTGGCCCTTTCAGAGAGATGCTCATGGCCCAGTGTTTCTATGTTCCATTTTCAGTTCTTTTTAACAGAAGGGCAATATTTTTTTTCCTTTAATGGGAGGGTTAGAAAAATATTCTTATGCTTATTTACAAAGCCACCAAAGTAGAATAAAAAAGAAGGTTTGCAGATAGAAAAAAGATACTTTGTTGCTTTTAGGTGACATTTTGTTGTTATGGACCTAGTGAGAAGTGATTCACAGTTGGCTCTGGAGTGGGTTTTCAGAGTGAAGTGCACGCAAGGAGATTGTGTTTTTTCTCTCTTGGTGCATGGGGTGCATTTGAACCTGTGCTTTTGGACTTGCCGTGCAACTATTTACCCCTAAGCCACCAGAGCACCCTTAGATGGTATTACAGCTATCTATAAAACTAAATACTATACATAAAGACTTCAGGAAAACGGGTTCACGGTTACAACCTTCAGCCTTGCTTTGGAAGGCCTAAGATTTTTAAAAAATTAAATAAACAATAACATATTTCAACCTCTAAACAGTCCCTAGGGAAAGCAACCCCACTGTTTAGCATTAATTCCACCTGGAGTGGGAATGTACATTACTTGCAAAACTGGCCACAGTTACTCTCCACCAAATATTCAGACTGCTTTTATAAATTGAACCTTCCTAAAATCGAGAGACAGAATCTACTTTCTCATCCATTGAATTTAGGTTAGGCTGGAGTATTGTTTTGTTTTGCTTTGTTTTGGTTGGTTTTATAAGCCTTTGCCAATTCAATGTTGCAGAAGAGATGCTGTGCTTGTTCCAAGTTATCACACACAATTCCATTCTCTCCCTCTCTCTCAGAACTGTAATGCTGCCATGTGAGCAAACCCAGGCTGACCTGCTGGACGACAAAAGATAATGCAACAATGTAAACTTTACATTGGAAATATCCACCAACCCCCAAAGCAGACCAATGTAAGTGGTTAGAAATTGACACCAGACATATGAGGCCAGCAAAAGTATCTAAAAAAAAAAAGAGTAATCATCTGAACCATGCTACTGCCACATCCAAAATTATGAGCTTATTGAACAGCTATTATTTTAAAGCATTAAGTTGTGGGACAGTTTACTATGCAGTAATGTTGTTCTGTTGTTAGGTGCCACTGAGTCAAGTATGACTCATAGCGACCTTATGAACAATAATTCTGAACCCTGTCCTATCCTCATCATTTCTGACTCACTTGAGCCCACTGCAGTAGTCACTGTGTCAATCTACATGAGAAGGACTTCCCTTCTTTTGCCAACCTTTCCAAGTATGATGTCCCGCTCCAAGGAATAGCCTCTCCTAATAACACGCTTGCTGCAGAGGGTCAAGGACTTCAGCCTCCAATATGGATTGAGAATATCAAGAAGACAAATATTCTCACCACTGGACCAATTGGCAGCATCAGGATGGATGGTGAAGAGATTGAGATTGTACACAGCTTTAGTTTGCTCGGCTCCATAGTCAACAGTCTTGGCACCAGTACCCAGGAAATTAAAAGGCGCATTGCCATGGGAAAGTCTGCTGTTAGGGATCTCTCCAAAGTACTGAAGAGCAATGGTGTCTCTCTGGCGACTAAGGTGTGTCTAATACAGGCCATGGTCTTTGTGATCACTTGTTATGCCTCAGAGTTGGACAATGACTAGGGAGGATAGAAGGAGAATTGATGCCTTTGCGCTGTGGGTGGTGCTGGAGAAGAGCATTGAGGGTACCATGAACTGCTAGGAAAACAGATTCATCCTGGAAAGGATTAAACCGGGCGGCTCCTTGGAGGCAAGGATTCTGAGGTTCTGTCTAACATACTTTGGGCATGTTGTAAGGAGGGACCGGTCCTTGGAGAGGGACATCATGCTTGGTAGGGTGGAGGGACAGCGCAGGAGGGGAAGGTCCTCTATGAGGTGGATTGATTCAGTGACTGGGGTAATTGGGATGAGTGTATCGGAGACGGTGTGATTGGAACAAGACAGAGCAGAGTCTAGGGCTGTTGTACATAGGGTCGCTATGAGTCACAAGCAACTCAACGGCACATAACAACAACAGCAACATGCCCAAATTATGTAACATGAAGCTTTCTCACCTTCGTCTCCAAAGGACATCTGGCTATTTGTTTTGCTGTTACTAAGTGCCAACAAGAAAATCTTGGCTAATAGTAAGTTCATGTAACATAACTACTTCATAGATTTTTCTAGGTTGTAACCTTTACAAAGAGGGTACTCTGGTGGCCTAGTAGATAAGGAGTTGTGCTATCAATCCAATGGTGGGAGGTTTGAATCCACAAGTGCAAAAGAAGAAAGGTGAGTAATCTCCTCCTACACAATCTGCAAGCAATGAAAACCCACTGGAGGGTCACCTAGGAATCAGCTCCAACTTGAAGGCAAGAGAGACTGTTTACAAGACTGGATAACCAGGTCTTTCCCCAGAAATCTTAGTGAATGTGAACAACCAAATTTTTGTTACAACCAAGCATTTAATCATTGTGTCACGACAGCTCTTTAGCTTTCTGATACATAAGGGTTACCACAATGGACGGCCTCAACAAAAATTTATCGTTTAGAAGACTATAAATGTGAATTCAAAATATTTTTTAGAATGGGAAGCCTTTCTCTTGACTGTGGAGAAATGTCTTTTTAGATTCTATTCCAAGTTCCTTGAATTTCGCCATATGTCTAGGCTATGTGTTTGCAGACTGACCCAAAGTATACTTCACACGAACCCTGCCTCATCCACATAACTAAGACAATCTACTCCTAAGAGGAAATATTTGAGACTATTGTTGTTATTGTATATTGCCTTTTCAGGGTCTGTAAATCCTGTGAGAAGAGACTGCCAGTCCTTCTTCTGTGGAGCATCTGGTGGATAGAACCCTTCCACAAGGATTCAAATCACCTACCCACTAGGGCACTTAAACTCCTCTACCACCGTCTTAGAGGTTAGGATTTAGGATTTACAACATATACTTTCATGGGGACATGGTTCATTCATTATATGGGAGGAAGTCAATGCAGAAAGGAACCAAAATAGTCTCTGAAAAAATGTCACCAAATCGCATGCCAATGAACAACCATGAAAGGAGAAAAGTACTAGGCGGAAAAAGAACTAACTTTAGAATTGGAGCTAATTTAAGATATATAGAGAGAGATATGTTTAGAGATCTACATATCTATATCAATAGAGAGAGAGATTTTTAAGAAAACACAATGAACTTTCTTTTTCCTTGTGACAAAACTAAATGCTGTGTTCAACTCAAAACAAACCTCTGTAATACTGACTGCCCTTAAGCATAGCAATCTTACTTTACTAGTCAAGTATGGAAAATACATTATAGTGGTCTGGCCTTGGAACATTAATTTAGAATTCTGGGTTTATCAGTTATTTGTCCTTGGGCAAGTCCCTTATGTTTTCAATCTGATTCCTCATCTGTTAACTGGAAATTAATAACTCTCAATCCCACAGGACAGCTGTGAGAATTGAATTGAATGTTGCATGTGTCAACCAGCAAAACACAAAGTAGATTCTCAAAATGAATAAGGTGCAAATTTTTCATTCACTCATTTATATTAACTGGGTTTCTATAGTATAAAAGGCTGTGTGCTGAGGACTCAGAGAAAGTAAACAATTATCAATGATACCAAATAGAACATCCATCTGTTAATAATATCTCAAACTAGAATAAGGTTAAGGGAGCCCTGGTGGCCTAGTGGTAAGGAATTGCACTGTTAACTGAAAGGCACGTGGTTTGAATACACCAGCTGCTTTGCGAGAGAAAGATCTCCTCATGCAATTCACTGCCTCTGAAAATCCACTGGAGGGTCAACTATTACTCCATTCCAACTCGTAATAAGAGAATAAGGTTTGAGGAACCAAACAGAGGCAGTGTCTGTATTTTCATACTTCCTAACTGAATGTAGCACAATATCTTAGTTTCAAAAGTATGTGGGAACCAGTTGTCTAATTTTAAAGAAAAGATATTACTAAATGGCCAGCTGTGTGCAGATGGATTTTAAAACCTTTTGCATCCTAAAACAGAGCTGGAGCCTCATTATTTTTCCGGCTCGGCTGGCAGGAGCCTCACCTGACAGCTCACATCCATCCCTGCCTCCAGCAGCACCTGGACCACGGCTTTGTGCCCATTGCGGGCAGCCAGGTGGAGAGGTGTGTGCTTGCGAGTGTTACAGCTCATCAGGTTGGGGTGGGCGCTGATGATCATCTTGACCACTCGAAGGCGTCCATAGAGCGCAGCCAGGTCCAGAGGAGTTTCCAGCTTGCTGTTCCTGATCGTAGGGTCTGTCAGCTCCTCCAGAAGCACCGCGACCACTTCCGAGTGTCCGTACTGAGCCGCACAGTGTAGGGCAGTTTCATTTTCGTTGTTCTGTTTAAGAAGAAGACATACAAGGCAAGCTTTCAGAAACTCACTTTGTCATTACAACAACATAAGTACAGTAAGTCCAAACATGAGAGCCTTGGAAAAACTACACTCATGGATCTTAGCAAGTTATGCTTAGTTGCTTGCATACTTGATAAAAGTATGTATTACCTCTTACATTAAATGCATTTCTTCAACTGTCACGTCAATAAGGAGAAACAACTTTTCTTCTACATTATAAATCTCAATTTTCAAGAATGATAAAATGATGTAGCTATGATAGGGTTCCTGCCAAACCTTATGGTCAATGCTGTCCACACTATAGATCATGTCTCTCTGACATTTGTTGGAGAAGGAGATTCACAGAAATTACAATGCACTTTTAATAGAGTGACTTTAAAAAAGAAAGCTGACAGGGTGAACTTCTGACACTGACAGCTTCACAATTTCAATTTCATTTTCTTTTCCATATAAACACAAATCATTGCTTCTTTTACAAAGGAATGAATAAATGCTGTGACAAAGATGCAACAATATCTTTCTGAAACATAACTATAGATAAAAAGGTAGGTGTAGCTTCTTTCCCACACAATTTAACAAGAGGATCGCAGGACCGCAATGGGTGATGATGTTTAAAGTTTTAAATTTGTGAGATGCCTTCAGCCATTTTGCAATTAAAATCATGAAGATGGGAAAAAAGTGAAGCCAGATGCAAGGTAGATAGACCAACTACACAATCTGGGAGGAAATGAGGTATGAGTACATGAGGAGGTAGAAAGATAAGCTGGAAGAAGTAGACCAACTACTGTTATCAAGAGTCCTGCTGGTGTAGTGGGTTACATACTAAGCTGCTAACTGAAAGGTCAGAAGTTTAAATCCACCAGCTACTTCACAGGAGAATGAAGAGTCTGTCTGCTTCCATTAAGATTTGTACAGCTTTAACACGAAGAAGAGCTGTCATGAGTCATAATCGACTTGAGAGGAACGAGTTTGGCTTTATTTGTACGTGTGTGTTTTGCACTGTTTTCATTTTGGTTTGAGATTTTATTGTTATCATAGCAAACACTATGCATCAGACATTTCACTCAGTAAATTCTTCCACTGGCACTCTAAGAGAGGGGTACCCTTATCATCTTTGTTTACAGTGAGGATCTGAGTACTTTAAAAAGTGAATTTTGCTTATACAGTCCTTTAGTGACTGAGCCAGGATCCATGTATGTTTAATCTAGACTCCAGGTCAGTCCTATTAGTCGTCCTACATCCTAGGTCCTTCAGTAACAACTATTCTACCGCCAGTGGCTGCATCCCTAAAAACTTAGCAAACACCATCTCATCTAACTCTTAACAACAATCCTACAAGGTTACTATTGTTATCTCTATTTTAGGGGAATAAAAACAAACAAACAAACAAGCAACAACTCAAGGAAAGGAATCACATTAAAGTTTAATTATGTACCCAGACAAGGCAGAGACTTATCAGTGAACTCCTATCTGAAAAAATGCAAAGCCCATCCATGATGTCTGTATCATTCAATACGGTTTAACCTGAGTTGCTAATACTGTCAAGGATCAAAAAATTAAACTCAACACATTTCCATCAAGTTGGAATCAACTCATAGCAGAGAGTCCAGCAGGTTTTTTAGGGGCTGTAAATCACTTGCAAGGTGGCAGCCCATTTTACTCTCTCTCAGAGCCACTGGTAGATTTAAACTGTCTGCCTCTGAGGTGGCAGCTCAACTCCTTACCGACTAGGCTATCAGGAAATTAATGATCTGAAAACAGATCTTGAACAGTTGGGCCCATAGGAATGGTCAGTGAATTTGGGATGGAAAGTGACTGCTCTGATAGGTATTCTAACCAGACACAGGGACAAGGAGGATCTAAACCCAAAACTCAGTCTTGCAACAGATAATAGAAGAATATAGATAAGTCCAAAAGTTAGGAAGAAGAACTTAAAGCTTAAGAAGAGAGTGATGCATAATGAGAAAAATCACAAGAAAGTTTAAGGTGGAAATGGATTAGAGAAAGAAAACTCGAATAGAGTAAAACTTGTAAGAGTCATAATTATCTATTCATTGACAAATGTCTGAGTTTCTGTTCTCTGATGGTGGGGCACTCTGGTGGTCTGCTGACAAAAAGGCAGTGTGCCTCTGTGGAGGTTCGAATCCAGCAGAAGCTCCATGGGCAAAAGATGACCCATCTCCTCCCATGAGAATTACAGCCTCTGAAAAATCCACTAGCGAGTCAGCTAAGAGTTGGTTCTGACTCTATGACAAGGAGGTTTTCTTTATTGAGTTTCATCCTTACACTGGTTCCAGTTGATGCAAATTTCATTCTACTTGCCACTAAAGCTGACATAAAAGTGGAAAAGCGATAAAAAGGTGATAATCTTGGGAGATCCACAACACAAGGCAGTTCCAATGAGCTCTTCCTTTTTAAAACGAACAGTAGGAAAGAGTATTTGGAAGTAGCTTCAGAATGAAAATTTACCTGCGGCAGGAAGTACATTAAAAGCTAAGAGCGTATGGAAGGAGACACTAGTTGGAGGTATTAATCATTAATTATGTCTGGGGTGTCTTTCCTGGACACTTTCTGAATGGGTTACTGCAGTCTGCTTCCTCATAGACTGACTACATACAGGTTTAGACCCTCTGGCTTTCTTATCCGGATAAATTTTAAAACCTGAAAAGAAAATCTGTCTCATTACTTTATACCCTCTAAGAATAATACAGGAATGGGCTGCCTGACCAAAGCTAATTTCCCCTTGGTCTGAAAGAGATTTGCTCTCATTTTTCAAAATACAGCACCTCTATGAGAAAAGGGGAAGACCAATTATGAAATAATGATTCCTCAGAGGCCTCTCTACTTTTACAGAGCCTTTAGTCCAGGAAATTATGAGAGCAAAATTGAAGCCTTTTCTAATAATACCAATTAGCACTGTTCAGATCTCAAGAGAAATTATTTCAATCATTCAAGAACTGCTTGGAAAAAAATATTCACAGCTTTTATCCATAGTAAAGGCATACTTGAGATGTTACATCAGTGGAGGGCACCATTGTAGCACCTTCAAAGAGGTATGATTTTATAATTGTAACCATTCACACTCACTAGAGGTCTTTAAAAAAACGCCTAATTTTAAATAAATGGGCTGTGATGAGACACTAATTAATAATTGCCAGTCTTTCAAGAATACTCTTTAAGAGTTTTACAGAATCCCTCACTTTTTTAACCAAACAAGTATCCCCTGAAAAATTAAGATACTTGCAGACAAGTGGAAGAACTAAACTGGCTGATGAGAAAAAAATATTTACCAGATCTTGCTTCAAAGTAAAATTAATGGAAACTACCTAAGACTAGTTGAGTTCCAGCTGTAGTGAATGACATGGGGAATATTAGATATGGCTTCCCTGGGGGGTTGTCCTAATGAGAGGAGAGAGAGAAAGAGAAAATGATAAAAGGGGGGAAAGATAAATATTTAAAGAGAAATTCAAAATATATACAACATCAGAAGACAGAAAAGTATCAAGCCACTGAAAAACACAGAAAGGAGATGGAGATGTGGTGATTATAAAAATCATGTTGTTGTTGTTGTTATGTCCCGTCAAGTCGCTTGCGACTCATAGCGACCCTATGTACAACAGCCCTAAACTCTGCTCTGTCCTGTGCCAATCGTACTGTCTCTGACACTCCCATCCCAATTATCCCAGTCACTGTGTATGTATAAAAATCATAAGCAGGACATAAAAATTACTCTTTTTAAAAGTTATGTCCCCCTCATTCTAGGGCAGTGTGGAACAGTAAACACAAGCTAGTTGAAGTGCTAACACTCAATTTAGTAGGAACAGTAATTCAATCAAATTCGCTGAGACTTGCTTTCCTTATCTTTAAAATAAGAATATTTTCCTCCCCATATATTTAAAGTATAACTTCTATTTCAAAAGAGTAAGAGGTAGGAAAATGTTTTGGAAATGCTAAACTGAGATTAGAAACCAATGATCCCTTTCTGATTTCAAAACGAAGCCCTGTGTGTGATGCATAACTTTATCATCATAACAGAGTACACATCTGGTTAAAAACTTGAACTTGGATCAGTAAGACCGGGAGTCAAATCCGGGCTTCATTACTTTACAGTTGGGATATCTCAGGTACGTGATTTAATGGCTCTAAGGTGGTGTGCTCAGCTATCAAATCACTGACTCTGCTTCCTCACTGCTTTTGTGTTGACCAACAGCAATCGCCACTGGGTTTTCAAGACCATAAACCGCAACAAGAGAAAATTACCTATCTTTCTCCTGCAGAGCTGCTACTGGAATCAAACTACCAGATATGCACAGCCTTTGAGTTAGCAGGCAACTCACGACAGACTACACCACCTAAGCACCCTATAGATACAACAGGAAACTTCATCCCCAACTAGTCAAACTGCTGTATGGGGTAGTCATGCCACACACTAAAATATCATGAAGTCTGGTGTATCAAAGACACCATGGGTGGTTATATTTATAGCAAAAATAAAATATGTGGCTCTGGGCCTTGGACTCAGAGAGAACTGGGTCATAGCTTCATTTCTGTCAGGTTTGGTTGTTTTTTTAATTTAATCATTGTTGCATATTTTCTTCCCCATTCCCTCACCCTCCCCAACCCACCTTGCAATACACCCCTTGTTTCAGATTATTCTCATGCATATAATGCTTAATCATATATTCCTTTCAGTTTCCCACCTCATCTATTCTAATGCAGTGTTCACTGTCTGTCCACTCTTTCCCCAATCCCTCTCCAACCCCTTGATGTCTGTTCTATTTCATAACAGAAGTATTTATCCTTTTCATATCAGTATTCATATCCCTTTCATAACAGTATTTATCCTTTTGTGACTGAGGTGTTTCACTTAGCATATTTTTTTTTACTTCTGGAACAACATGTGGTCTTAAGCACAGTGTTTTGCTTTTCTGAGACTATTTTTCTTCTATGAAATGGGAGTGATAATATCACACCAGAGGGTTCTTGTGAGAATGAAATAGCATGCTTGTAGGTGAAACTGCTTAGCACAGTGCCAGGCTTATCTCATGTCTCAAGAAAAGTTCATTAACATTTTCCTTCCTTCCTTCTACTGCTTGACTAGGTATAGGATTATAATTAGCATCTCTATCCTATTTACAGAAATGGAGGAAAAGAATGACTATTAAAAAAAAAATACAATCCCCATCGGAAACATTTAGGAGAAATGAGCTTGTTAAGAGAAGTATTTTGGTTCTAAATACACATACACACACACACACCCTAAAACACATGAACTAAAGGACAGAAAGTATGTACTTAAAAACCTCAAGAAACATAAAACAGCAAAACTCGCGACAGAGATAGAAGTGAAAAAGGAACTTTTGATTGAAATCTCTTCAAAAAGACATCGTTTTACTATCTTAATGCTCTGTTCAGCAGCATGGGGAAACAAGTGTTTCTCCTTATTATTATAATTTAAAAATCAGAACACATTGCCATCATATCAGAGCCAACAAGCCTTTAAAGTTCTCATATTTCAAATATAAAGGACAACTACGTGGGATTTCATTTTTTCCATTCTCATATCTTTTAAAGGGATTCTGGTGACCTATTGGATAAGGAGTTGAGCTGTCAAACCAAAGGCCGGCAGTTCAAATTCACTGGCTGCACTGCAAGATCTCCCTTTGTGAAAAACACAGCCTCTGAAAACCTGCTGGAGAGTCCCGGCTACATGTGGGTTCCAACGACAGGGAAATGTCGTTCTTTCTGACTTTTGACATATCCTTTGGAAAAAAAAAAACCATTTTCCTTGTAAAGCTAACATCTGCTTGTTTAACCTTGGCTTGCTTTTCCTTTTTATTATTTCAGGTTTGCTTTTGCAGCACTTGAGGTAATTTTAAGATTAACCACCAGGGGGCTCATCCCCTTGAACGCTATTCTAACTCGGGGTTTTCTGAGGCATTAAGAGCATTTTCATAAATTTACCTAACGTTTGCTAGAAAAATAAAGGCAAATGGTCATGCTTTAGAAGGTCTTGATTTCTAGTGTATTCTCATTTTAAAAAAACCGTCTTTTCAGTAACCTTTACCTGTAGGTAGCTTTACTGGGTTAAATATTAATGAGCTACCTTCCAATTAATAAAGCATATTCCTGCTAAATCCCTTTCAAATGCACTTCAGTGTATTTCCCCCCCATTACTGTTTACAGCTAATGTTACCTTTTAGTCTTTAATCTGAGTTTCAGTCAAAGCCAGGCACAGCCTGGATCCATCCAAACAATATGCTAATTGTACTTTATTAGATGGTGTGCCCTAGAGTAACCTATTTGCATTGCTATTGGACAGCGGCCAACCTACAGCTTAATGTCACGGTTGTAATTCAATTGTTGGACTGCATGCTGGTTTTCAAATATACTTTTACAAAATGGGAACAGTAGGGGGCATGCAGAGCTCAAGATGTTTGTTATCATACTGTATTAAAGTCCCATATTTTATTTTCCCGAATCTCTATACGTTTGGGTGGTGTGTTGGTTTTTTTTGGGGGGGGGTTGGTGGGTTGGTTTTGGTTTTTTTTACATTTAGAATACTGAAAGCTGCATTCCTCCTCTTCTAGGATTTCCTTTGTGTGTAATCTGAGTAAATCATTTTCAACTTAGAGGTCAAAAGATTTTGACTTTTTCTGCCAGTACTAGACTGCTGGTTTTCATTCAGCCTATTATGCCTATATATACATGGAGACACAGGCAGGGTATTTCTAATTAAATATATGACTGACAACAGTATATACAGTGAGATTTCCCTTTTGATTCACAAAACTGCACTCACAGTGACAGAGCAATGTAAATGCAAGGCATTATGCAAATGAGAGCTATCATTGTTTCAGCATTTAACATTTTAAGAGAAACCAATCTGCATTACAAATCTATCTTCTGGTCTATCTTTACATACTCAACATCTATAAAATACAGGCTTACATAATGAAGGCAAAAAATATTACAACTACTTCCTTAACGTGGGATTATTTTTTTTTTTAAAATAGCCTTACAAATGCTCCAATTTAGTGCCTTTGCAGCAATTCTAAATGCCGAATAACTTCTCAAACATCTCCTTCAGGAATTTCAGCAGCAAGAGGTTCTTGGCAGAGTTGAGACTGCAAGAATCCATTTTTCAAAGTGGCTTTGCTTTGGTAAAAGGCAGAAAAATGTTAGCGTGAGCAAACATTTGGCAATGGCACCTGTTCATTGACTCGGGAATGTGATGGTCCGTGATGAATGAGAATCTTCACAATCTCCACGTCTCCTTTCCAGGCAGCCAGGTGAATAGGAAAATACCCTTTATTGTCCGCAACATTCGTTGATGCCTCATATTGAAGTAGTTTGAGAACTATGTCCCTAGCAAGAAAAGGAGGGGGGAAGAAAAACAGGAGAGAAAGATAATATGATGAACAAGAGATTTTATGAAACAGACAGTAAGATATACCAAATGTTGGCTGACAGTTTCAGAGGAAACATCCAAGTAATTAAGACATAAGATTGAGAGGTGTGACTTGACCTACTCATTTGCCTTGTTCACTAACTTGGAAAAATCAACCATCACAGTTACAGAAAGGGCACTAACCAATATAGCTAGTTAATAGAACTCAATGGGGTGGGGGGGGACTGCTGTTATTTCAATGACTAATTGAATTTAATCAAATAAATAAAACGGATAAAAGAAGTTCTTGTGCAGTCTGTAGTGTGTTGCACTGCAAATTGAACATCTTTCAGACTACAGAACCTGAAATCCGTGAGCTCCAAGAGAGGAGAGCTGTCTCCTGTCAAGCCTTACTGCCTTGGGGATATAGTGGGGATCTCCATAGTTAGAATCAATTCAGTGATAATGAGTTTCATTTTATTTTTTTTTCTCCAAGCTTCAAAAGAAAGCAAAAATAATAAAATCTTTCCAGACTTCCATTTAGCCTGCAGGGAAAAATGGAGTTACAAATAAACTCTCTAATACCTGTCTCTAAAAAATCATCATACTTCCATGAGATAGGGTGAAACCAGGCTGCTGCTTGGACACAAGGATTTTTAAGTGCCAACACACACACTTTTGGCATGTGGCCAGGAGGGACCCATTCCTAGAGAAAGACATAATGCTTAGAAGGGTGGAAAAACAGGGCTGGCGGGGAAGACCCCAGGTGAGATGGATTGGCACAGTAACTGGGATAATGGGAGTAGGTATGTCATAGACAGTGAGAACAGCTCAGAACAGGGCAGGGGTTAGAGCTAGAGTGCATAAGGTTGTTATGAGTCACAGTTTGATGACACATAACAACCACCACCAAAGGATAAGGGAACACTGGCAACCCAGTGTTAAGGAGTTGTGCTGCCAACCTAAAGGGAGGCAGTTCAAATCCACCCACCAGCTCCTCACTGAAAGAAAAACAGGCAGTCTTCTTACAGGAAAGTTCTATTCTCTGAAAGCCCCCGGGAGCAGCAGCTTTGACTGAGTTCTGACTTGATGGCACATAACAATTCAACATACACAACATGCAATCAAGATGCTATTAAAGATAACTGGTGACTGGGATGTAAAAGTTAGAAACAGTGGAGAAGGAACAGTAGTGGGAAAATATGAGCTTGGTGCTAGAAATGAGGTTGGAAATAGAATTCTTGAATTTTGTATTCTGAATGATTTTTTCACTGCAAATATCTTTCTTAAAAGACACAAATGGCAGCTTAACACATGGACCTCACCTGATGGGCTGCATTAGAATTTCAGATTTACTACATCTGTGGAAAGAATCATTAGAGAAGCTCAATAACGGCAGTCAAAATTGGGCCGGGGTGGACTGTGGATCAGATCAATTAATTGCTCATGTACAAGTTCAAATTGAGGCCAAAGAAAAATAAGTCCATAAGAGCCAAACTATTATCTTGAATCTATTACATCTGAATTTTAAGATTATCTTAAGAATAGGTTTGAAGCAATGAACACCATGATCAAAAACGAGATGAGTTATGGTATGGTATCAAGGATAGCATCCATGAAGAAAGCAAAAGGTCATTACAAATACAGAGGAGAAAGAAAAAAACCAAAATTGACGCCTGAAGAGAATCTGAAAATTGCACCAGAGCATCAAGAAGCTAAAACAAAAAGAAAACATGCTGAAGTAAAAGACTTAAAAAAGATTCCAAAGGGCAGTTCAAGAAGACAAAGCAAGATATTGTAATGGAATATTCAAAAAGTTGGAATTGGAGAATAAAAAGGGAAGAATCCACTATGCATTTTTGAAGCTGAGAGAAGTGAACAACAAATTGAAGCCTTGAGTCACAATACGGAAATATATTCAATGAAGCAGATAACATCAAAAGAAGATGGAGGGAATACACAGAATCACTGTACCAAAAAGAAATGACTGAAAACGGAAAAGTTTCAAAAAGTACCATATAAGCAGGAGCCATGGTAATGAAGAGGGGAAGTAGAAGCTGCACTGAAGGCATTGGCAAAAATAAGGCCCCAGAATTAATGGGATATCAATTGACATGTTTCAATTAACAGATGCAGCCTTGGATGCACTCACCAGTCTATGCCAGGAAATTTGGAGGACAGCTGTCTGGCCAATGGATTGGAAGAAATCCAATATTTGTTCTCAGTCTCAAGAGAGATCCAACAGAATGTGGAAACTATCCAACAATATCATTAATATCAAATGCAAGAAAAATACTGCTGAAGATCATTAAAAAATGGTTAGAACAGTACATAGATAGGGAACTGCCAGAGGTCAAGCAGGATTTAGAAGAGGCAATGGCACCAGGGATACCATTGCTGATGTCAGATGGATCCTGGATAAAAGTAAAGAATACTAGAATGACTATTTATGCTTTATTGACTATGAAAAGGCATTTGACTGTGTGGATTACAACAAGTTATGGCTAACACTGAGAAGAATGGGAATACCAGAACACTTAATTGTGCTCACACAGACTTAGACCTAGACCAGGAGGCAATTGTGCAAACGGAGCAAGGGAAAATTGCTTGATTTAAAAATGAGAAGGGAGTGCGTCAGGGATGTATGATCTCTCCATACCTATTCAATCAGTATGCTGAGCAAATTCTCTGAAGAGGAATGTGGCATCAGGATGAGAGGAAGACTCATCAATAACTGATGTTATGCAGATGACACAACCTTGCTTGCTCCAAGTGAGGGGACCAGAAGCACTTGTAGAAGATCAAAGAACACAGTGTTCAATATTAAGAAAACAGATTCTTACCACTGGACCAATAGGCAACATCATCACAGATAGAGAAAAGACTGAAACTCTCAACAACGTCATCTTCCTTGTACCCACAATTAACACCCTTGGTACCAGCAGTCAGGAAATCAGGAGACATATTCAGTGGGAAAGTCTGCAATTGGGGACCTTTCTAAGTTACTGAGGAGTAATGATGTCATTCTGATGACTACGGTGTGCCCGATTCAGGCAATTTTCTTTCTGATCACTTGCTATGCATCTGAGAGCTGAACAATGAGTAAGGATAACAGAAGAAGAATCGGTGCCTTTGAGCTGTGGTGTTGGAGAAGAGCAGTGAACCTCCCATGGATGGCCAAAAGAACAAATCACTGGCAGAAAGAGAGACATAAAAAGAAAAACCCCACAATGAGATACCAATTCACTCAAGTAGTAGTGACAAAGTTTAACAGGACAACAAGTAATAAATGTTGGAGAGGAAGTGGTGAGAAAAGAACTTTTATACACTGTTGGTGGAATTTTAAAATGGTAAAACCACTCTGGGAGGCGGTACGGCATTTTCTCAAAAAGCTGAACGCAGAAATTCCATACGATCCAGCTATTTCACTGCTGGGACTATATCCTGGGAAAATTAAAACTGAGGCACAAACTGAGACTTGTACATCAATGTTCACAGCAGCATTATTGACCATGGCAAGAACATGGAAACAGCCCACATGTCCAACCACAATTGAAAAGACTGAGAAATTACAGGACACGCACACGATGGAACACCATGCAGTACAAAGGAGCAATGATTTTGTAAATTACTACCTAACTTGGGAGGGACTGGAAAGTATTATGCTAAATGAACTAACTCAGTCCCATAAGGACAAATACTGTATAAGACCATTATTGTGGAATGTGTATGAGGATCCAAGGGGAATGGAGGGGAGCAGTGGGGTAAGGATGGGTGGTGGGGGGAGGGGGGATCTAATCATAGAGTCACACAATTTGATGGGTGGACAGAGGGGTGGGAAAGATCTGGTGTGCAAAACAACGTATATGAACTTTGTAAGTAAAGCAGTATAAAATTTAAAAAAATATTTCTTGGAGGGGGTGCAGCCAGAATGTTCTTTGGAGGCAGAGATGATGAGGCTTCACCTCACATACTCTGGGCATGTTGCTCGGAGAGACTATTCCTTAGAGAAGGATGTGATGCTTGGAAAGGTAGAGGGTTATTGAAGGAGAGGAAGACCCTCGACCAAATGGATCGACATGGTAACTGCCGCAGTGGGCTCTAGTGTCAGGAAGTGTGAGGATGGCCAGCATAGAACAGGGTTCAGATCTATTGTTCATAGGGTCGCCATGGGTCATAATCAACTCGATAGCATCTAACAACAGCAGTAACAACACACCTGTTGTTACTGTTAGATACTTTCCAATCTCTTCTTATCCTGTGCTAGCTTCTCTATCTCTGATCTCCACTCTGTTCAAGCACTTCCTTGAAGCCACTGAAAATGGGAAATAACGGAATGAATGAATGAGTTTAGCCATTTATTCAAGTATCTCTTTCCTGTGCCCAGAATACAGCACAAATTTGCAACACTGAACACCGCTGATAACTGTTATTATTATTAAACCACAATGAAAGAATTAATAACAGTGTATTGATAATATATATATAAAGAGAGGTCAAGGAAAGTCTAAATTTTCTTACTATAATCTTTCAAAAAAAAAGAATAACTTGGGGGGGTGGATTTGGGGTTTTTTCCTAATTTTTAAATTTTACGTTGATTTATTTACAAAGTCTGAATATATTTTTTTTTTCCACAAAAGATCCTTCCTATTTCCTTCACACCACCCCCTCTATTTCCACCCCACTCCCTACCTTGGATCCTCATACTCATTCTACAATTATGGTTTTATACAGTATTTGTACTTATGGGACTGAGTTAGTTCACTCAGCGTAATGCTTTCCTGTCCCTCCCAAGTTAGGTAGTAATTTACAAAATAATTGCTTCTGCATGCTGCGTAGTATTCCATTGTGTGAATGTACCACAACTTCTCAATCCATTCGTTGCGGTTGGACACCTGGGCTGTCTCCATGTTCTTGCGATGGTGAATAATTCTGCTATGAACATTAGTGTACAAGTTTCCATTTGAGCCTCAGTTCT